TGAACATGGCCTCCCTCGACAGTCTCTGCTCTCACTTCCCACCACGCTAGCCACCACATCCTGGGCCTGGGGTCCATGGGCGTCTCCCCCAGGTTCAACTTTTTCACATGGGGGTGCCCACCAGGAGCAGGCATTGGAGGAGTCCTGGGGGCTACCTCCTCCCCTGGTTTAGGCCGTGCAGATGCCCAGGCCACAGCTTTGTCTGGCCCAGCAGCGGGCTGAGGCACCTGCAGGGCCCTGCATGTGTGGAGGGAGGCAGCGGGTAGCACTTTGGGGGGAGGAACTCAGGCCTGCTGCCCACTTTAGGTAAAAGCCTTGCGAGACCCGTGAGAATAGGGCGCTGCTCCCAGAGGAGTGCAGGGCCTTTGCCAGGGCGGAGCACACTGCAGGGCCCCCACCCTGCACCCCTCTACGGTCCTTTGGGGGCATGACCAGAGGTTGGCTCGCAGCGGGAGAGGCCAGGAGGGGAATGGAGTGGCGGGGGGCAGTCCTGGGAGCCTGGCAGCAGTGGCTCCACCACGGGGGTGGGGGGTCCTGGGGGCTGGGAGGGGCTGGGGGTTGGCAGAGGCGCAGGGATGGGCAGCAGCAGCCCTGGAGCCCTCGGGGTCTTTTCATACAACTTAAACAACAGTCACCCCCATGGCCCATGAACCTCTGTGGTCAGGGCCCCAGCAGGGGGGCCCGGGAGGCTCCTGGCTCTCTCCAGGCCTGGCCCAGGGGCCACCTTGTCGGGAAGCCCCAATAGGTCCCTGGGAGTCTCCACGGTGGCTTTGGGCTGGTCTGGCCTTCCTCGGAGTGTGTTTCCAAGAGGTCCCGGAGCACGGGCAGGTGACAGTGAGGGCTGAGTCCCACACCGGTGGCAGCTCAGGGTTTGACCTGTTGGGGTTCACCTGGACGCCGCCTCCCACAAAGGACAGGGAATAAGGGACCCTGTGGCAGCCAGAGGCTTTGGGCCACAGCAGAGACAGGCAGCAGTTGTGGTGCAGAGGGGATGAAGGCCACGGAAACTTCCGGGGACCCCCTTTTTAGTCAGTCTGGTGTCTCCAAACAGGACAAGACACCAAGACCAGCTGGTGTTTATTTTTCCAGCTCCACTATTTATTGTTGAGATACGAAGTTGCCTTTTAAATAATTATTTGAGTGAAAAAGTGAATGGATGTGAACAAAACATTTAGTAAATAACAACACAGCTGGTGTAGGTTGCTCCTGGGGAGCTTCCTGGGTGTGATCTGACACTGGCCCTTGCAGAGGGCGGGGAGAGGCCGAGGGAGGCCGGCGGCAGGCGTCACAGACCGGGGCACTTAGAGGCTTGTCTCCAGTGGGCACAGCTCCTGGTCGCTGCGCGTGCCTGCCAACTCTTACGGCTCACCTGGAGGCCTCTGCGGGGCCCGGTCACGTGCACCGTCCAGACCGTCTCAGCACCACCGCACTCTCTCTGCGCTGCATCTCGGGGGCAGCGTCTAGGGAGGGAAGGCAGCCGAGCACACAGTCCAAGGGCAGTGGGGGGAGGAAGAGCTTATGATGACCCGTCCAGCTCTGCGGTCAAACTGTGGTCACCTCTTTGCAATGACCCCCTCCAACAGACGACCAGACGGGGGCTTCAGAGGAGTATGTGCGTGTGGGGGGCAGCCTGGGCCAGAGCTGCAGGAGCTCGGTCTTGCACCCCTGTCCCTCTCCTTCCCACTACCGAGTCCCCACTGGTCCCGCTGGAGACCCAGGAAACCATGTTTTCCTCCCACAGTAATGGTCTCCTGAACTCTCGCTCACAGACGCAGAACTCGCCAGCCCCTGGTCCCTCATGCTGGAGGCCCGGCAGCAGGAGCTCAGTCCAAGGGCTCGGTCTGTGCCTGCAGTCCCACTGGAGGGACAGGGATGGAGGGGCCCGCTGCCCACCCTGCCGCCTCTGAGGCCTCTTTGGATGTGCGGGAGGTGGAGCTGGTTGGAAGACGCTCAGGTCTGCAGGGAGGGGCCTCCGGCGGAGGAACATCTGGGGGCCTAGGAAAGGGAAGGGGTCAGATGGAAGGGGTGGGAGGCGAAGCTGGAGAGGTCAAGGGCTACCCTACATAGGACCTGCAGGCCACAGCTCCCCTGGGACTCTGAGGTGTAACAGTCAGAAAGCCCCTTTTTCAGTATCTCCACAAAAGGGGCTTTCCTGGCTCCCGTGACTTTGAGAACAGGGCGTGGGCTTGCTGCACAGGAGGCCGGATCCGGAAGCAGGAGCAAATACTCTGGCCGGCTTTCTTGCCTCTCCCAGGGGTTAGCTTCACGCCCAGGCTGGCTTTTCCCATGTGACATCTTGGGGCCAGCGGCAGCTGCAAGTCCCTTCCTGCCCCTGGAGCAGCCAGCCTTGCCGTGAGCTTCAGCAAAGGCCTTGAGGCCGAGGGGGTCAGGTGCACTGGCCAGGCCTGGGTACCCCGCCAGTAATGCTGTGGGCAGACTCGGTTTCAGCACCAGCTCCTGGTGCCCCTCCCCTGTCCTTTACTTTAGCCTGGCAGTGCCCTAGCAGCCAGCCTCCGGGCCTGACCAGCCCAGGCTCCTTCCCCTGGGCTACAGGGGGACTTCCCAGGAAGCTGGCTTCAGCCAGAAGACAGGGCACTTGTCCCAGCCCAGCTGCAACAGTGTGCCCGGAGGCACCTGTGCACAGGAGGGGGTCTACACTTGGTGGGCATGGTCAACGGGGGACCGTATGTGTCTCTGTGGTTCTGTGCATGTGCACTGCCTGGTGGAAGAGAGGCCACCCTGCCATACTCAGCTGCCTGGAGAAGGTGACCCACAACCTCCTTCTCCCCTGTCCTCAGCGGCCCCAGATGCTCTCACGAGCCCCGTTAGGCTTCATACTTCTGGACAGTGGGGGCGGTTGGGGGGACTCTTGCCAGAGACTCTCAGGGCCGGCAGATCCAGGATCAGGGACAGGCTGTCTTTGTGGGGTCAGGGGAAGGGGCCCAAATCAGGGGAAGGGTCACTGTAGGCTAGGGCTGGCCACAGCAAGGGTTCCTGCAGCTCTGTAGAGCCAAGCCCTGGGGCTGGGCCTTCCAGGATCGGACAGGCCACCCCTGCAGCCACTGGCAGTGGCAGCTGCAGAGGCCGGTGTGTGGGGTCACTTATGGGCTCTGGAAACAGTTCCTTTGCTGTGTTGGTCCAGACCCCCCAGATGGATGCAAGCCCAGGGAGCCTTGCCCAGGAACTCAGGGCACAGCCTCTGCCCCCTGGCATCTGCTCTTGGTCCAGAGTAGGTGAAACCCGGCACAGGAAATGCCCAGGTGGGGGTCAGCAGAGCCCTCAGTCGCTAGACAGCCCTTCCACCTGCCAAGGAGCTGCCCTGAGCAGGACCAGCTGGACACTGGTGAGCCCCCAGGACAGGGTCAGGGACAGGCAGCAGAGCCCTGCAAGGCCGCAGGCTGGATTTCCACGCAGCCAGCTGTGCAAAGCCCTGAACAAGTCTGCTGCTACCTGGCTCTTCTCTCTGGAGCGGGCTGGTGGATTAGTCACGCAGCGGGCCTCAGGCCCAGAGACGCCCTGGCAGTGGACGTGTGGGCCACTGCAGAGTCTCCGACCAACCTCCTGGCACCGTCCCCTGGGCCCCTGCCTGCACCCCTACCCCTCGGGGCAGAGAGACTGCAGGTCCTCAGGCTCCCACTGAAAAGTGAGCAGCTTGCAGACGCTACGGGGAGCTCAGGGTGGGGCCATCGTGGCCCCTAGGTCGCCACCACTGTTCCCCTGGGGCAACTCCTGAGCCCCCCACAAAGCTGGGGTGGGAGTAGGAGCCCAGGGATCTCCCTGCCTGAGGGGAGGGCAGAAGGCAGGGGCAGGGGTCAGGGCAGGGCTGTGTGCACTGCACCCCTTCCCCACCAGAGGCAGAGGCCTGGGGAGACCCTGCCCAGGGTCCCAACAAGCTGGAGAGGCCAGGGATGGGGCCTCTGACCCTGGGCTTCAGGATCTGGCAGAGGCCTTGAGATCTGGCTCTGACCCTGAATTTTTGGGGCTGACTAGAAGTTGGTGAGGCTGGGGTGGGGTGGACATGGGGGCCAAGGACTTGGTGAGCACTGCGGCGCACTCCATGACCCCTCCCTCCTCAGGATGAGAGCCGCACCGGGCACTAGGGTGCCCAGGACGGCTGCCTAGGCGCGGTGGCTCCTCGGCCAGCAGCGCTCTCCCTGATGTGAGGTGTTCCTGCTTCATGTCCAGTCGGGTCAGACAGGCCCGGCTAGGTGTCCCCTGTCCCCGAGGAACGTCCTGAGCCCTGGGCAGTCTAGGAAAGGATGGAACTGACCAGCCAGGGCCTTGAGCGCATCCTCAAGACCAGAGTGGGAGGCGGTGTGTCCCCCCTCTTGAGCCGACGCACCAGGTGGCCTCGCGCAGGGCTGCTCCCCCTCTCCAGGTGCGGCCCCCTGCCCAGCTCACGGGGAGGGCTGCCTCGGGGCCGCATCTGCGGAGGGAAGGAAGGAGAAAAGGGTTAGTTAGGGCAGAGGGTGGTCCAGCCTGAGGCTGCCTGTGTGTGCAGGGTGAATAAAGTTGAAACTAAGGAGTCCTCATCTCCCAGGAGCCTGTCCCGAGTCGGTGCCCAGCCAGGCGGGCTCTGCCCCTCCCGACGGGGCACAAGCCCTGGACGTAAGGGAGTTTCCGTCCCTGTCCCCTCCCGGTCGGAGCTGGCAGGACCCTCACCTGGGGTCCAGCCGCAAGCGCGGGATGGGCAGCGAGACCGGAGGTCCCGCGCACTCCAGGCCGCTGTCCTCCACTCGCCCGCCGCTGACTGGCGGGGCCTGGGCAGTCGCGGAGCTGCCTTCGGGGCCGCAGCCCGCCAAGCCCAAGGAAAAGCCTGGCCGCGGCGAGGCAGGGGCGGCAGCCGCGCTCCGGGGCCCGCGGGCCGGAGAGGGTTAAGGGGGGCGGGGCGCGAGGCGGCCCCGCCTCCGCCACCGCGCTGGGTCCGAGCGCGCCGGGGGCGCGGGGGCGGGTCGGAGCGGGCGGCGGGGAGGCGGGCGCGCCGGGAAGCGGCGGCGGCGCGGCCCGCGTGACCCACCGTCGCGCCCGTGCGCCCGCGAGCCCGCGCCCCGCGCCGGCCCAGCCGCAGGATGCGCGCCCCGCCGCTGCTGCTACTCCTGGCCGCCTGCGCGCCGCCGCCCTGCAGCGCGGCCGTCCCGACGCCGCCTGGCTGGGAGCCGGCGGCCGACGCGCCCTGGTGCCCCTACAAGGTGCTGCCCGAGGGCCCCGAGGCGGGCGGCGGGCGCCTGTGCTTTCGCAGCCCCGCGCGCGGCTTCCGCTGCCAGGCGCCCGGCTGCGCGGCGCACGCCTCGGCCGGCCGTTCGCTGCGCGCCAGCGTCCTGCGCAACCGCAGCGTCCTGGTGCAGTGGCGCCTGGCGGCGGCCGAGGCGCGCCGCGTACGCGCCTTCGCGCTCAACTGCTCGTGGCGCGGCGCCTACACGCGCTTCCCGTGCGAGCGCGTGCTGCTCGGCGCCTCCTGCCGCGACTACCTGCTGCCCGACGTGCACGACGGCGTGCGCTACCGCCTGTGCCTGCAGCCGCTGCCGCCGCGCGCCGACCCCGCCGCCGCGGAGCCGGCGGGGCCCGCCGAGTGCGTGGAGTTCGCCGCCGAGCCGGCCGGCATGCGGGAGATCGTGGTGGCCATGACGGCGGTGGGCGGCTCCATCTGCGTCATGCTCGTGGTCATCTGCCTGCTGGTGGCCTACATCACCGAAAACCTCATGCACCCGGCCTTCGGGCGCCCGGGCCTGCGCAGGCAGCCCTGAAGGCTGGCGGCCCGCGCCCTGCTCCCCGTGCCTGCTCCCGCCTTAGGGTCTCCACGCAGGGCCCGCTCCAGGGCCTTGGAGTCATTGCACGACCTTCCCAGCCGGGCATCCTCCTCCCAGACTCCAGCTTGGGACTGGCCCGTGGCCTGGGCGAGGGGTGACTGCCGCGCCCAGGACTCTCCCCGCTCTCCAGAGGCCTTTATAGGGGCCGCCAGGGCATAGAGCCCCTTCTAGTAAGAGCCATTGGGCCGTCACCCTGCACCTCCGGCCTGTGCCAAGTCGGGAGAGCCAGGCTGTCGTCGTTGCTTTGTCACTGTGTGCTTTGCCGGTGCAGGGGGCCCCTGGAGACTGCCCTCTCCCCTCCCACCCCTGTGGGCTTAGGGTAGCTTCGTGCCTTAGCATCTCGGGCCCACTGTGGGAGCCCACTACCACATCTCCTGTGCTGTCCAACCAGGTCTGTGGCCCTGAGACTGGCTGGCTTTGTGTGTGCTGCTGGCCAGACCCCTCTGGGGATCCCCCTTTCAAGCTTTGCAGGAGCGTCCTGTGGTATTTCCCTACGTGGGTGTCTGACGAGCTGGGAGCCATGTCGTAGCTCAACAGCTGAGGCCCAGTGTCCAGCTGCTGTGTGCTGGCGTAAGTGCCCTCTGACCTCGGGGAAAGCTGGTGGTTCTAGGGCTGTCCCCCTTGTGCGCATGCTCCCTCCGACGAGGGCTTTCCATAGCGGGTGGGGGCAGGTGGCTGGGAAGGGAGGGCCAGGTCTGAAAGGACAGTGCTGTATCCAGAGAGCAGAAAAATAGATGCCAGCCCTGCCCAGCTGGACTTCCTACTGCGGTTCGATCCCTAGCCTCAACCACGGCATGATGGACAGCACCGCCCAGACCGCACCTCGGGTGGTGGCCAGGAGCCCAGGATCTGGCTGGTCTCATTGCTACTTGCCCACCCACCCGCCCTCGACTGGAGGTTGGCCTCACCCCTCTCCTGGCCTGGGCACCCTGTTCAGGGCTGCTTCCTTTTCTTCCCACCTGGTGGTGCTGGTGCTGGGAGGGGCAGGGCGCACCCAGCTGACTGTGACCATCCCAGACCTGGCACATCTGGAGTCACTGTGGCTGACCCTCCCCACCCTCGCTCCAGCGGCCCCAGACCTTCGCTGGTGACCGCTCCCTACCTCTGTCTGCTCTGCCTGCCCCTGGCATGGCACTGGTCAGGTGTGAGCCTGGGGCCAGTGTCTCAATGTCCATCAATCTTAGACCAAAACCACCGTCTTGTGTGCTTATTTGGGAGGTGGGAGGGCAGGACGCAGGGTGAGGTGAAGGGGTGGGGCCCTTGTTCCCAGCTCCTCCCAGGCACTTTGCCTTGACAGACAGGGTGTCTCACAGCTGGTCTGTCCACCCTCAGACCTCAGGAAAACATCTCCTAGGCCTTCTGTGTTGGGTGTGGGGTGGGGGTGCTGGTACCTGCTGCAGTAAGAAGTAGCCCAGGCTCGCGGGGACCCACTTGAACTCTGACAAGCAGCAGTTGGGCAGGTCCAGGTGCTTGGGTCTCCCTGTGGAGTGTGGGGGAAGAGGACACACCTGGGCCAGCATGTGTGGCGCGCATCGGGCCTCTGCCGGCTCCCCCACCGGGCTGTCCTTGAGATCCTGCAGGCTGTGACCCTGGGGAGAGAAAGCTGCTGGGCTCTGAGGGGTGACTCATCCCTGGGGGTGGAGGGGTGGGTGGCCAGTGACATGTCTAGACGGCTGGCAGGACTGGGAGGGTTCCCCTCCAGCAGCCTCCGTCCCGGCTCCCTGGGGGCCCTTTGCCTGCATCTGCCCCAGGCCGCACGGGAAGGGCATGCAGGTGTCCCCCGTGCAATGCTGGTGGGGCCCTGGCCTCCATCCTCTAACTTCCAAGTGCAGATGGCTTCCAGAACTGCAGCCACTGTGAGATTCTGCAAGGCCCATCCTGGACCCCTGGCCCTCCACCTGACTGCAGCCCCGCTCGTGGCCTTGAGCTGTGCCAGCTAGAGCCGCGGGCCTGTCATGTTGGCACTCTTGAGGTTGGTCAGCACTGACCCGCAGCCTGTTGCTCCAAAGATGCCTTGTTAGGGCCCCGGACCAGGGGCTTCTCGGAGGCCCCGAGTACAGGGTGGTCTGGGTGAGTGTGGCTGTAGGGATGCCCTGGCACTGGTGCCCAGAGCTCACGGTCAGCCCCACACACTGCTCCTTCCCTGGGTGGCCAGCCACCCTCCCAGTGCCCAGGGCCGCCCTCCCTCCATCTCTGGGGGGTGCCCTTTCCTGCCCTCTTTTCTCTCTACCCCCCCCCCCATCGCTCTCTGCCCCTTCCCTTCCTTCTCCCTCACTGTGACCCCTGCCCTCTGGGGTCACTCCTACCTCCAACTGCTTGGCTGGGCTGGGGTGAGGGCATGGGGAGCGGGCAGGGTGTGTGTGGACGTGCTGCTCGATGGCTTCCCTGTGCCCTGGCCGGACATCCAGACTTCTGACGGCACTTAAGCTTATAGTTGCTCAGTGCGCTGGAAATCATTCTTATGCCCAAACACCACAGTGCCGCCTGGGCTGCCACCGGGCTCTGCCTGCCAAGAGCCACTCCAGTGCCTCTGCTTCCTCATCTGTGGAGTGGAAACGGTAGCAGGACCTGGCTCACAGGTTTGGCGAGGCTTACCTGACACCATCCAGGCAGTGACGAATAAACCAGAGCCATCATTACTGTCCGTGCCACATCTTGACGCACCCTCCGGGCCAGACCCCAGGCCTACGTCCCCAGGCGGACTCGGCTTGAAATCCAGACGTGTGGCCCTGTCTTGACTATCCCACTATGATGGCTTCTGTGTGGAAAATGGAGCTCCCAGCTCCCTGCTCAGCCCCAAACCAGACGCACAGCGTGGGCCCCTCCCCTACCCGAGAGGGACGGTTACAGCACCACGCGCGGCCAGCTCTGAGGCCCCGAGGCACCCAGCAGCTGCTGTTCCCTCCGGTCTGGCTGAAGCACCCCGTTCAGCCTCAGTGCCAGCCTTGGGTGGGCCTCTTGCTCCCAGAGACACTGAGTTAGGGGAGGGGTGTGCAGGGGCAAGTACCGGGCAACCTTGCCAGGGGCGGGGCTGTGGGGCTGCCATTTCCTGAGGAGCTCAGGGCTGCCTGGTCTTCAGAGACATCAGGGAGCTCCTTGGGGGTGAGCCGTTTGGCCCCTTCAGCCTGAGTCCAGAGAGCATCTCTAACCCACAGCTACAGCCCTGCCCCACCCAAGCCCCCTTCTGAGGAAAGGCATCCTTTTATTTCTGCTTGACACCGGCCCTTGTCTTTTTCTGACTGTCCAGCTTGAAGTGCCCTGTTCAAGCCGTTACCTGCTTTCTGGGCATATGGCTTGCTGGCACACCTCCTCCATCCGCAGGGATGTCGCTTGGCTTCTTATTCTTTCTCTTACGGTCAGTCTGTGCACCGTTCAATCCTAGCTGCTCTCCTGGGCTTCCCTGCACTGCTCCTTGGGGAGGGGACAGGCTGGGATGGCGTCCCCAAAGTCCCAGCTCTGGGATTACCGCTGCGTTAAATACACGGCCTCACACCTTCGGGATCTGCATTTCCTTTCCCTCCACCAGCTTATCTGGACCGTCTCCTTCCTCTGCCCCTGGCATCTGTCCTACTGTTTGGATTCTAGTCCCACAGAATCTCCCCGTGCCTATTCCGTTCCCCTTATTGGCGACCACTGACGTGTTCTTGGATATGTCCTTCAACTTACCTGAGTTTTGCTGTTGGTATTCTGATTTTATTTCTACTCAACACCATATCTTTGAGACTTGTGCATGTTGCAGTATACACAGGAATGTAATTGTTTCTGCCCATGGTATAGGATTTCTAGAGTATGTATCTACCCTACTGACTTGTCCTCACCCCTGGGAGGGACACAGCTGCAATACTGATTACACTGTTCCCATGAGACCCTCCTACATGCTCCCTAGGGACCTGTTAGAGCAACTCTAGTGAAGGACCTAATCTTAGGGGTGTGCATACTTAATTCCACCAATATCATCCATTTGCTCTCAGTGGCTAAAGCAGTTACACCCCCACCAGCAATGGAGGTGGGTTTTATTTCCCCAAATCTCAGGAATGTTGTGTATCATTTAATTCAATCTATCTATTGGCTGTGTAGCAGTAAGCCAATTTTATTAGAATGTTTTCTTCCGAGAGAAAGCTGCACGGACAGGCTGCGTATCACCATTCTCATCGGCCATTTTACTTTCCGCTTGTATAAACTGCCCATTAGTATTCTTTGCACATTTTTTCCATTGCTGTGACGTTTTACTCTTGACTTTTTAGAGTCCCATGATCACCCTGGATCGGCACTATACAGCAGGACATTCTGAAATGATGGAGTCGTTCTTTATCTGTGCCCTGCCAGTTTCCTAGGGCTGCGGCACTGCAAACCAGGGGCCCTAAAACAATATACGTCTTTCCTCTCCGGGCCTGGAGACCCAAGTCTGAAATCAACGTGCCAGCTGGGGTCTGGGAGCGATACTGTCTCTCGGCCCCTCTCCCGGAGTCTTTGGGCTCCTGAGCTTCTCCTGAGTGTTACCTGTGTCTGAATTTCCTTCTTTCCCTTATTAAGACACCAATTGACTCCATCATGACACATCTTTATTTTACATCTGCAAAGATCGCTATTTCCAAGTAAGGTCACATTCACAGGTACTGGGTGTTGGGACATCAACATATTCTTCTGGCAAACACAATTCAATCCATAGTCGGCAATGGTCTGCTAGTCAGTAGAAATTCATCATTGTGGATTTTGAGGACCTGAAATGTAGCGAGTGTAACTGAGGAACTGCATTTTATTTTATTACTATTATTTTTTATTAGTTTTATTTTGGTGTCATTAATCTACAATTACATGAAGGACATTATGTTTACTAGGCTCCCCCCTTCACCAAGTCCCCCCACATACCTGTTCAGTCACTGTCCATCAACATAGTAAGATGCTGTAGAATCACTGCTTGTCTTCTCTGTGTTGTACAGCCCTCCCCGTGCCCCCCACACTATACATGCTAATCGTAACGCCCCCTTTCTTTTTCCCCACCCTTATCCCTCCCTTCCCACCCGTCCTCCCCAGTCCCTTTCCCTTTGGTAACTGTTAGTCCATTCTTGGGTTCTGTGCTTCTGCTGCTGTTTTGAGGAACTGCATTTTAAATTTTAATTAATTTAAATGTAAGTTGAAGCAGCCATGTTTAGTGGGTAATGCACTGAACAGCACAGTTCCAGATATATATCTTTGACTGTTCTAGATGTTGCAAATATTTCTGCTATGCTGCTAACATTGCCAATAGTGTCCTTTGTTGAGAAAGAATCCTTAATTTTGGTGACATCAGACCTATCATTTTTTTCCCCTGTATGTTATATGCCTTATTTTGGTCTTAAGCAATCCTTGCATACTCAAAGAACACAAAAATATTTCCCTACTTTTTTTGGATTGGCTTTATGATTTTACCATTCATATTTATGTCTTCATCTAGAGGCCAACCTTTCTATATGGTGTGGGGTAGGAATCCAACACTAAGCCAATTTTCCCAACCTGATCTACAGAAAAAAATCTATCGTTTTCCAGAACATTGTGCCCCCTGGAACATTGTGTCTGTCTTTTCCCACAATAGTAGTACATTATCTCTACTGTTTAACCTTAATATCTGCAGAATTAAGTTTCCACATTTTACTCTTGTAACTCATGGGGGGGGGGGATCCCAGGGCAAAATACCTTTGAAACTGAAATCAAAGGGAGAAATAAAGTGGGAGAAACCCATTCATTGCTCACAAGCAGTCCTCTTCTGCTCTCCCGCGTCTCTCACCACCTGGCTGCAGAAGGGGCCCCACCCAACCTCTCTGGTCCAGATAAGCCCTAGCTTGCTCCAGTAATTACCTATGCATACGGAGATGGCTACTTCTCCCCACCCCTTGGAAACACCTACTGATATGGAGATGCACTGAGGCCAGACAAGAGATTCTGGAAATACTGCAATTTTACCCACGACTATTTTAAAAATTGAATTGACTTAGTGAGACTTCTGGTTCCAGCCAACATGAAGTAACAGGGATCAGAATTATCCTTCTACCTTGTAACTCCCAGGGGGAAAATCCTGGGCCAAAGTACCTTTGAAACCAAAATCAGTCAAAAGGAGAAAGTGGGAGAATCCGGTTTATTCCTTACAAGCAGTCCACTTCTGCTCTCCTGTGTCTTTCGCAACCTGGTTGCAGAAGAAGAGGCCCCCCACCCAA